GATTTGTTCAACTGGAAAACCCATAACTCCTCTTACACAGACAAACCTCAAGCCATGACAGATTTGATTACCTCCATATTCCAAACGCACAATCCCACTTGGGCTGATTGCCAGCAATTGCTTATGACATTGTTTAATAACGAGGAAAGGACTCGGATTAATCAGGCGGCAATTAAAGCGCTTGAAGAAGTGGCCCGTGCACAGAATCAGGCCAACCCGGTAGCATGGGCTGCAGCTCATTACCCAAATGTATTACCCAAACGTGCTGATATGGCTCGCCTAAAAGCTTATAGGGAAGCCATTATTACTGGCATGAAAGCCGGAGGGAAAAAGACGATCAATATGTCAAAGACGGCTGAGGTATTGCAGAAATGTGATGAGTCGCCCAGTGCCTTTTATGACCGATTATTGGAGGCATACCGATTGTATACCCCTTTTAGTCCAGAGGCTCCTGAGAATTCCCGGATGGTTTGTCAGCCAGGCTTACGGAGATATTAAAAGAAAATTGAAAAAGCTAGAAGGGTTTGTAGGGATGTCTATAACTCAACTAATGGAAATAGCAAATAAGGTTTTTATGAATAGGGAGACAGAGACGAAGAAGGAAGAAGAGCGTAAGATGAGAAGGAAGGCAGATATGTTAGCGGTAGCTATCGCTGGTGTAGATAGAAGGGAAAAGGAAGTGTACAGGGGAACCGAGAAAAGCGAGAATAAGTGGAATAGGGAGCCTTTAAGTAGGAATCAAAGTGCATATTGTAGAGAGGAAGGGCATTGGAAAGTGACTGTCCACAGAGGGGATATATTGCAGGTGGTAAACAAGAAGAGAGAAGAGGATGAGGTGGTTATAGAGGACGAGGTAGAGGAAGTTTTGGAGGAAATAGTGGGAATAATAGAGGAAGTGTTCAAGGGGATAGGTATTACCCAGCAGCGCAGAGACCGCGAGAAAGAGAAGATAGGGACTTTGTGGGTTTGGCTGACACTGTCATGGAGGACTATTGATACCGACCGGGCTCCATCCCCCTTGGTCGAGAGGAGCCTATGGTCGATGTAGCAATAGGGGGAAAAAGGAGTTCTTTCATGATCGACACTGGTGCTGAACATTCTGTGGTAACTGACCTAGTTGCTCCTCCGTCAGGAAGAACTATCACTGTAATAGGAGCTACTGGGAGGAGTGCTGCTAAACCGGTTCTCAAAAGTCGACTCTGTACACTGGGAGGCCACGTAGTGAAACATCAGTTCCTTTACATGCCTGAATGTCCAGTCCAACTTCTAGGACGAGATTTGTTGTCGAAGTTACAAGCACAGATAACATTTCTGCCTAACGGAACGACATCCTTGAAGTTTAATGGACCCTCAGGTATAATGACACTATCAGTACCAAAGGAAGAAGAGTGGCGACTTTATACAGTGATGACAAGTCAAAACCCTAAGAGTGATGAATCCTTGTATAATATAACAGGAGTGTGGGCAGAAAATAACCCACCAGGACTTGCTTGCAATATCCCACCTATACGCATCAAACTAAAGCTTGGGGTTTATCCAGTAAGCCTGCGACAATACCATATACCTCAAAAGGCGAAGAAGAACATACAGTCTTATTTGGATAAGTTCACAAGGTATGGTATCCTAAAATTCTGTGCTTCCCCCTGGAATACTCCATTGTTGCCTGTTCAGAAGCCTGGGTCAGATGAGTATCGTCCTGTGCAGGATTTGAGAGCAGTCAATGATGCGGTAGTAAGTATACATCCAGTTGTGCCCAATCCTTATAACCTGCTTGCCTTGATTCCGGGTGGGGCTACTTACTTTACAGTCTTGGACCTTAAAGATGCCTTCTTTTGCCTATGAATTGCTACAGAAAGCCAGTGTATCTTTGCATTCCAATGGGAAGATGCTGTAACGGGCTCGAAACATCAGATGACTTGGACAAGATTGCCCCAAGGGTTTAAAAATTCACCTACCCAATTTGGATCAGCATTAAGTCAGGACTTATTAGATTTCAAGTCCATCCCAGGAGAATGTGTACTACTACAAATACGTGGATGATTTGTTGATAGCGGCAGTTACTAAAGAGATATGCCAGCAAGCAACTTATGATTTACTGCACATTCTTTGGAAGGCAGGATACAAGGTATCCAGGAAGAAAGCTCAGTTGTGTCAGCCAACTGTCAAGTATCTGGGATTCCATATCTCTGAAGGTCAAAGGATAATGGGGCCTGAAAGAAAAGAGGCTGTATGCCAAATACCAACACCTAAGAACAGAAGACAAGTGCGAGAATTCTTGGGGGCAGCAGGCTTCTGTAGGATATGGATTCCCAGTTATGCGATACTGGCGAAACCCCTCTATGCCGCTATTAAAGGCACGGAACATGATTCCTTCCTGTGGACCATCGAACAGCAGAAGGCATTTGAGGATGTTAAGAAGGCATTGATGAGCGCCCCCGCATTAGGTCTACCTGATCATACACGTCCATTCTACTTATATGTACACGAGCAAAGAAGGATGGCTGTGGGAGTACTGACACAGTATCTGGGATCATGGCAACGACCTGTTGCGTATATGTCCAAACAACTGGATGCAGTAGCCAGTGGTCTTCCTCCTTGTCTAAGGGCCGTAGCTGCCGCCGCCCTGTTGGTAGCAGAAGCTGACAAGCTCACTCTGGGTCAGGAACTTTATGTGCGAGTCCCGCATGCGGTACAGACGTTGCTAGACTATAAAGGTAATCATTGGTTTAACAATAGCCGAATTACTAAATATCAAGCCATGCTATGTGAAACTGTTAATACCCTGAATCCAGCTACCCTTTTGCCACAACGTAATGAAAGTAAACATGATTGTTTGGAGATAATGGATGAGGTGTTTTTCAAGCCAACCAGACCTTCATGACTTTCCCATTCAGGACCCGGATGTACAGTATTATACGGATGGTAGTAGCTATGTGAAAGAAGGAATTACTCGGCAGCAGGTTGTAGAGTTGGGTAAAACTATGGAGGAGGTACAGAAATGGGTACAAGATAGGTTACCTGTAAATATTTATCCACCTGTCCATTCTTACCATCCAGGAGACCAAGTTTGGATAAAGGAGTGGAACAGTGTACCGTTGGGGCCAAAGTGGAGGGGTCCTTATGCTGTTCTTTTGTCTACTCCAACAGCTATAAAGGTGGCAGAGGTGACTCCGTGGATTCATCACTCCAGGGTTAAACCAGCAGCAGATTCTTGGCAAGCTACTCAAGATCCTGAGAATCCCTGCAAGATCCGGTTGAAGCGAGTGACCCAGTTAGATTAAAAGTGGTTTTTGCGAAGAGTATTGTTACAAGGGAACATCAACAAAGATCTACAAGTAGGTGTTTTGACGGCCACAATAAAGCCTGACCACCTACCAACGTTTAAGCCAGAGGAATCCTCTGTGAAGAACAGTGAGGATCAGAAGGACTCCATTCCCTCCAGCCCTCACACGCCTGGAAGCTGAGGTGCCGTTGCACGGTCAAAGAATTAGGAAGAAGATGTCAGGAGTAATGTGTTTGATGATGTATATATGTGTGTTTTTAATTATTCAGGAAGGTAGAAGTACCGACACACCAGGCTGCGAGGTTTGCATTAAGACTACGAAAACAGGCAATCGTATTTCCCAGACCCTTATTTGGCATTCACAATATGAGTGCACAGGACATGTATCAAAGTGTAGATACCTAGGTACAGATTATAGTGTATGCCATATAGGAGCAGGAGAACCTAGGTGTTTTAATCCTGAGTATCAGCCCCGTACAATTTGGTTGACTATTCAGAATGAGAACGCACAGGGGAACCTGATAAATAAGACTGTACTAGAAAGCGTACATTCTCCAGGTGTTTTGCTATTTGATGCATGTAAGGCGATATCAGGTAGTAGGAAGTCATGGAATGTATGTGGTGGTCTTAAATGGGAAAGAACGTATGGGTCTAATGATAAGTATATTTGTCCTAGTAATAAGCATAAGTATATAGATCCAAACTGCCTAAATAAAGACTACAATTATTGTCCGTATTGGTCCTGTGTGGGATGGGCAACCTGGGGACAGACAGTAGATAAGGATATGATTATCACTAGATTGCCTACCAAGCCATATTGTAAGTCTATGGAGTGTAACCCAGTCCATATACTTATCAAGGACCCAGAGCTATTTATAGATAAGTTTGGGAATCTATTTGGGTTCCAAATATATGGAACAGGTTTGGATCCTGGGACGATATTATACATAGGAATAGAGACAGATACAGTGGCCCCCCAGACTCATCAGGTTTTCCATTCTTTTTATGAGGAGATGAGTGTGGAAGATAAGGTTCCCCATAATGCCAAAAACTTATTCATAGACCTAGCTGAGAGCATTGCTGGTAATCTTAATGTAACCAACTGCTATGTGTGTGGAGGTACTAATATGGGAGACCAATGGCCTTGGGAAGCAAAGGAGGTAATGTATTCTGGTTCTGAGACAGTTGAACAACTAATATCTTCTCAATCTGATTATCAAGTGAGTGTTAGAGGTAAATCTGAGTGTCGATTAAAGACCTCCATTATAGGTTATGTTTGTATAGCAAGGAAAGGAATAATGTTTAATACATCTGTAGGAGAATTGACTTGTTTAGGGCAGAAAGCCTATAATGACGATACAAAGGATACTATTTGGTGGTCAGCTTCAAATGTCTCAGAACGTCTAATCCGTTTGCAAATTATACCAATTTAAATGGTTTGACCTATCTGCTACATATAGTTGGAAAGCCCCAGCAAATTTGCACTGGATTTCTAGCAAGAAAGCATATTCGGAGTTACCACAGGACTGGGAAGGGGCATGTGTACTGGGTATGCTCAAACCATCCTTCTTCTTGTTGCCAATTGAAACAGGAGAGACTTTGGGAGTTAAAGTATATGATGTAAATCATAGGAAGAAAAGGGCACCCCTAGAGATAGGTACCTGGGAAGATGATGAGTGGCCTCCTCAGCGTATTACAGATTATTATGGGCCAGCTACGTGGGCAGAGGATGGTACTTATGGATACAGAACCCCAATATATATGCTTAATCGTATTATAAGATTGCAAGCAGTAGTTGAGATAGTTACCAATGAAACATCACAAGCGCTCAATCTTCTAGCGAAGCATAACACTAGGATGAGGACAGCCATCTACCAGAATAGATTAGCTTTGGATTACCTATTGGCAGTAGAGGGAGGTGTATGTGGGAAGTTTAATCTAAGCAATTGTTGTCTTCAAATAGATGATGAAGGGCAAGCAATAGCTGAGCTTACTAGCCATATGGTTAAGCTAGCACATGTACCTACTCAGGTATTGTAACGGATCACCTGGCACCCCGACTGGGTACCTCCGTTAAGGATGCTCCTAGCGCTTCCTGAGGACTCCAAGCACTGCAGCAGACACCAAAACCACCGAACCGTAGGAGCATATGAATGCTCTCAAGCATATGAATGCTGTAGACAGTTGAATAGGAACCATATGAATAGGTTTACTCTCCTAGCAGTCAAACTGGAACAGCATACAATAAATCCTTCCCCCAATAATGAGACGACACTTCACTTTGAGGGTTAAAACAGGAACTTCCTGTACTGTCACATACAGTCTCTTTTATTCCCAATCCACAAACATAGTACAGCCCACAGGGCGTTACAAAACAACCAATCACATCACAGTTACATCCCACATATTCCCTCCCCTTATCCTGAGAGGAAACTCAATTATACATACAGTTAAAACATACTTTCTACCCAACTTTCATAACTCTAAAACCATACATCACATTCACATAAAATTACATATTCACAATCAATCCATTCAGGGGAACAACATATTCAAAAATGGCACAAATCAGACAAGGGGTTCAAAAGTTAGTAAAAAGTCCTTTGTGACTAAATGAAGCATGGCTTTCTGGCCCAAACCAGTTTCAGAGTCTTCTATCCTGGAGATAAGTAATTCAATTATCTCCCAGGACAGACACAAGACTCCATTAAGCACATGGTTGCAAAAAGACACAAAACACTTTAAAATACATAAAGTCACATTTACACATAACACACAGACATTTCACATATCCCCAGATAGCTGGGATCTGAGTGCACATTATTAGATGAATGGCACTCAGATCACACAAATAAGCCTTTCTGCAGGGGAAATAAACGGTTTAACCTGCAGGGCCATAGTCCAAAGGGAGCAGGCGAGCAACCAGGCTTCTCCAGTTCACAGTGGCGAGGTTGGTTTCGCCACACTTCTCCCCTTTACCAACTAGACTAACAGGGTATCTGACCTCCTGCCGGTCAGTGCCCTGGTTAGTCCAGCAACCCACCCACAAAACAGAAACAGCAGTACAGCCCACCCACAATAACTGGTTACTACACCTGGGTAGAGGAGAACTTTGTCCATGTCCAGGTGCCTCACCACGACTGTGTGGGCAACTGTTAGGCTGCCTTGGTGGGTTGCTGAGTGGGCAGAGACCAGCGGTACTCTGCCCTGATGCCAGTGCTACCACGGAAGTAGCCTGGTGGGAGCCTGGTTGTGGGAGGGAGAGACCGACTGTCTCCCCTCTGGATACACCGCTCTGTGGCTGGGGAACAGGACCGACTGTCCCTACCCCTTGTGCTGTAAGTGCAGAGACTACATCTGCACTGTTGGGGGTGTAACATCTCCCCTTGCTGGGTTAGGCTGCCGCTGGAGAGAGGGTGTAACAAGCTCCTCTCTCTGAACTGTAAACTGCCGCTGGGGAGAGGGGGTATCAGGCTCCTCTCCCTGACACTCTCTCTGCTGGTGGAGAGGGGGACCAGCTGTCTCCCCTTTCATTATTTTGTCCTGTGGTTGGGGTGCGAGACTGACGGTCTCTGCTCCCTGCAGGACACTCTGCCGCTGGGGAGGAAGGACTGCACCTTCAGCTCCCTGTAACACACACTGCCCCTGGGGAGCAAGGACTGCACCTTCAGCTCCCTGGGGTACACACTGCCGCTGGGGAGGAAGGACTGCACCTTCAGCTCCCTGTAACACACACTGCTGCTGGGGAGCAAGGACGGCACCTTCAGCTCCCTGTAACTCACACTGCCGCTGGGCAGAGAGACCAATTGGCCACAGCCCCAATCTCCGCAATCGGCACTCACATTCCCATGCCGCTCGATTCTCCGCATCCAACTTGCGCACGGTTGCCATAACTGCCTCTGTTGAAGGATTCGGGCCATATCTGGTTAACCGTCTCATGACCTCATCCCGGTATGCATCGCCCTCAAAGCGATAGGTCGATAGGTCATGTTTGCTGTGACCAGGGGCGCTGTACGAATACTAGCGTTGCCCTCAAATTGTAACTCCAAACGAACTGTGTCTCTGAGCTGCTTTACCTTGCACTAGGACGCCATCCCACCGCTTGCCACCAATGTAACGGATCGCCTGGCACCCCGACTGGGTACCTCCGTTGAAGGATGCTCCTAGCACTTCCTGAGGACTCCAAGCACTCTGGCAGACACCACAATCACCGAACCGGAGAAACAAATAAATTCTCCCAAGCATATGAATGCTGCAGACAGTTGAATAGGAACCATACGAATAGGTTTACTCTCCTAGCAGTCAAACTGGAACAGCATACAATAAATCCTTCCCCAATAATGAGACGACACTTCACTTTGAGGGTTAAGCAGGAACTCTCTGTACTGTCACATACAGTCTCTTTTATTCCCAATCCACAAACATAGTACAGCCCACAGGGCGTTACAAAACAACCAATCAAAGCATCACCACAAGCAGTTACATCCCACATATTCCCTCCCCTTATCCTGAGAGGAAAACTCAATTATACATACAGTTAAAAACATACTTTCTACCCAACTTTCATAACTCCAAAACCACATACATCATATCTACATAAAAATTACATATCTTCACAATCAATCCATTCAGGGAACAAATATATTCAAAATGGCAAGTACAAATCAGACAAGGGGTTCAAAGTTAGTAAAAAGTCCTTTAGACTAAATGAAGTATGGCTTCTTTCTTGGTCTAAACTAGTTTCTTTAGAGTCTTCTATCCTGGAGATAAGTAATTCAATTATCTCCCAGGATAGACACAAGACTCCATTAAGCACATGGTTGCAAAAAGACACAAAACACTTTAAAATACATAAAGTCACATTTACACATAACACACAGACATTTCACATATCCCCAGATAGCTGGGATCTGAGTGCACATTATTAGATGAATGGCACTCAGATCACACAAATAAGCCTTTCTGCAGGGGAAATAAACGGTTTAACCTGCAGGGCCATAGTCCAAAGGGAGCAGGCGAGCAACCAGGCTTCTCCAGTTCACAGTGGCGAGGGTGGTTTCGCCACAGGTATAGAAAGGGTATAATCCGAGTAGTTGGTTTGGTAGTTGGTATGAGCAGTTTGGAGGAATCAAGGCATTGGTAGGTGGAGTCATACTGATTTTTGATGTTGTGTCTCCTTCTGCCATGTCTGATTCCTTTGGTAATTAGGTCTATGCAGAGCATTATAGAAAGTATAGCAGAAAGAAAGGCCGCAGCACAGGTAATGGCTGTTTGCAGGTATGAAGCTCTAGATCAAGGCGAATACATGCAGGAAGAGGAATGTTGAGGGGTTCGTAAAGTCTAGTCTGGTTTATGGCAACTTGAGGTGTAAGCAAACTATGATTGGTGATGCATCTGGAATTATTTTAAATCAGAAGCATCAAAGGGAGAAATGTGATGGAATTCCAGTAAAATAAAAGTTTAGCAGGCCAAGATTGCCACAAGGCATATGTAGGTACATGTGTTTGTAGTATCAGTTAGTTAGTTACACGTAGCTAAGATACTGTCATCACTGTACTGAGCATGTGCAGGAATGCAGGAACTGGAATTACGCGTCCCTCTCCTTTGTTTCAGATGAGCCACGTGGTTAGACCGGATGGATGAGTTTAGACTCTATTCATTGATTAGGTTAAGGGTATGTGTGGGCGTAGCTAATTATGGGAGGAGCTACAGTGCTATATAAGGAATCTACTCTATGTATTCAGTGCTCAGATCTTTGCTGTTTTTGATGACATAAGTCCCTCTGAGTCCCGGTCGGTGAATCGAATAAAGATCTCTTCCTTCCTGAAGAAACCTGTGTCCATCTCTCTGTGCTTGGCCTCCGTCAGTTTCCCGGTAACACCAGCTGCTTACATTAGGCTTCCTTCTAACAAATAGGTCACATTTAGGAGATTTGTGTGGTGAGCATTTAGGTAAGTTTATACAAGGATGTTTGGTGCAATAGAGTGCTGATAATTCAAGGATGCATTTTGCAAAGGAGTGCTGAAAATGCAAGGAGGCATTGTGCAAAAGAGTGCTGATAATGCAATGAGACATTGCGAAAAAGAGTGCTAATAATATATATCCTGGCTGTATAAAGTCTGCTGGAATTCCACAGTCCTAAAGACAGAGAAATATCCAAGGTAAGAGAACTTTCTTGGGTGTCTGATTGAAGTACACACATGTATATGACAGGTTTTAAAAACTTAACTCTAAGTCGACACACACTTGTTTCTATCAAGGTATGTGGCATTGATTGCTGTTATCTGTGCATTATCACAAATAAGCAGGCTTTTGCAGACAGTGGAAGAATATACTGCACAGGAGACCACTGGGCCTCAGTATCAGTACATGAACTGGTGGTGGTACAGCATCGGTATGTTTCCACTATATGCTCTAATGTATGAATTGGTATGAAGTCTCAGTGTGTGTCCAGTATATGCTCTATTTATGAGTTACTATGAGGACACGGCCTCAGTATATGTATCCACTATATTGTCTATGTATGAGTTGATCAGGAGACTCTTCCTCAGTGTGTGTTCTTTATATAATCTGAGTTGCTGTGAAAACACGGCCTCAGTATATGTCCTCTACATGCTCTATAGGTAAGGTGGTGTGGAGACATTGCTTCAGTGTATCTGTTCACTATATGCTTGATGTATTAGTGGAAACACAATATATGTGAATGATATAAGACACATCATCTATGAGTCCACTCTAATACTGGTTCTATGTGTGAGTTGTGAGTTACAACCTCAGTATATGTGAGTGGTATAATATGTGCATGAAGTTTTGTTAAAACACAGCTTCAATTTATCTCACTCATATAATCTTAATATGTGTGCAGGCATAGTGTCATTGTATATAGCAGAGGTAGGCTATGTATGATTACTATTTGAACAGACTCAGTATA